TATTTTTTGCAATATTAATTTAAAAACGGAATCTAATTTATACACTAAGGCTTTGCTAATTTAAAAGTTTAGTATAACAAAACCACATCTAATTGACTGTAAATTTTACTACTAACAGAAACATAATTAATTTTCTAGTACATAGTTGCATCCCAAATACTTCATTAAATGTTCATCCCAAATACTAATTATTATGAGGTTTTACACATAATCTTTTTACAATAATAGCAATACTTATATATTGGTTTCTACTGCAATGATATTAATTTCTAGATTTTTCCTCCTCGGCTCTACTACTTACGGGATCAAAATCCTAAACAAGAAGTTCTTCCACAACCATATTTAATGTATGCTTTTAACATATTTTCTCCAAAGACTAGCCAATCCAAAGTTGGAAGATTTATGTATTTTCTGTTGTTTGGTGCGGATTAAAATCAGATTTTTAGTAGATTGTGATAGAAGTTTTTGAAATGTGTGGTTGAAAAACTGTGGGATCATGAAAGATGTGGTTAATATTGACCGTTTGTCTTTGACTTATATTAAAATCTGATTNAATCATTTTATAAATAATCTTCAATCGAATGGTTCAGCTACAAGCCACAAGATCACATATATTAAGAGGATGTTTGGTAAAGATTAAAATTAGATTTTTAGTAGATTGTGATAGAAGTTTTTGAAATTTGTGGTTAAAAAGATGTGATTGATATTGATTGTTTGACTTTGATTTAGATTAAAATCAAATTTTAATCTGACCCAAACATGCCCGTTTTGATAAAGAATGAATAATAGATCATGGTTCTTGAAGAAACAGTAAACAAATAAAATCAAGGATAATACCGAGCAAATGGATGAACATTATCTAAATACAAAGAAAGGAGGCCAATGCAAAGCCAATCAACGCCGAAGTGTACAACTGAATATATGTAGTTGACATGAATATTAAAATTATGTTTCATCATAGCATGTGCACAGCTTCACCCATGCTAAAGAAGCGAAAACCACAAATATTTCAATACTTAGCCCTTGTTTGGGCCAATTTTTTTTTTTTCATTCACATTCTTCTACTCATTTTCAACGATACATTCTTCAATAAAATAATATTTTCTATCACATCAATAGTTTTTCCTTCTTTTTCAGCCATATATTCCCCATCACATCAACAAAAAAATACAATTTTTTGAAAATAATGTGCACCAAATGGGAGTTTAAAAACACTTGAAAAATGCTAAACAGATGTAAGAACTAAGAAAAAAAATATGAGTTAAATTTGGATTGATTAAAAAAAAAATGAGTGCTGAAAAACAAAATATTCACGAATTTAACGCAAATTTGATGCCAAACTATTAACAGAGAAATTATAATTTATCTCTAAACTCTCTTATGTGTTATAAAATTTTTTAAAAAAATGGAAATTTGAAAAATCAAACCAAAACTTCATTATTTTCAAAAGTTTTAATTGATTCAAAGCCAATGATAACATTTTTTACTTTTTTTTTTTTTAAAGATTCAAGGGGTTCTGAACTGGAGCGGTTTTTGGACATCTTTTTTTTTTTCCAACGAGGCTCCTTGAAATTTGAGGCTCAAGGCAGTTGCTTTGTTGGCCTTGAGCCAGGGCCAGACATAATCATATTTGTTTGAGTTCCATTTTTTTCAAAAAAAATATATTTTGCAATAGTGTTGTAATTTGGAATGTGTAGTAGAAAATAAGAAAAAAATTTGAATTTGTGTGTAATATTACTTTATTAAATAATGCGTGGCTGAAATGACATTAAATCACTGTTCAGTAACTCATATTGATGAAAAAATGGAACTCAAACAAAAAACTATTGAGATCGAGGATGAGGAATTCTAGAAAT